ACTACATACAACTACAAGTAATACAACTCATCATAAAGTTAACGAGTTACTCTTTAAATTCCATCCAAGTAATTAATTCTGCAATGTGCAAAAAAAATATGCAAAACCCAGCGTGGCCTGTTGAGTGAGCTCCATAGTGGAAACAAGGTGATGTGCCTGATAATTGCTGGTAGCATTTGGACAAGTAGCTTTTACTTTTTCAGGTCTTCTCTCTGGGAATCACTTGTGTCTGAACAGTGGGAGTCTCTTCTCCTCTTTCAATGAGTTTTTTGAGCAGATTCATAAAGACAAGTTAAAAACTGTTCTGAAAGATCTGCCATGCATCTCCTGCTGACTACAGCAAGATCTGCAGCCATGTCTTCAGGGAAGATTTGAGACTGAAATTCTTTGCTGTTCTTCTGCACCATGTACGCATCCAAGGTTCAAGTTGAATTTGGAGAACACATGCAAAGCATGCTTAGCCTAAAGGTTGAAAAGTACAGGTCTGCATGAATTCCCATGCAGAGCCTTGAAGGCTTCAAAGACGAGAAGATTTCCTGCTGCCTATACGTGCTAGGTACTCCCCTCCAGGTAGCAGCAGGCAGAGAAAGTGTGAAGAGAACAACTGCATCAGGGTCCAGTTTCCCGAGAGACTGGGCGTGCTGGTGAAGGAGAGCTGCTTTCGCTCTGCTGCTTCTCCCTCAAGCACACAGTGAAAAGAGAATTGTCCATTGCCCCCACGTGACTGTAACCTGTCTTCATGAATGTAGCCTGCCAGAGCAGGCAGCAGGAAGTAATGTCACAGAGGAGGAAGCTTGTGGATAATCTTGGGTTCATCTACAGAGGAGCCTTCTGAGACACATGTGACTGTTGCGTTATAAAATACTGCAGAGAATATTTATTGGATAAATTGTAGTTGTAAATACTTTTATAATGCTGTAACTAACAAACAGCTGCGTTGTGGCAATGCAGCAGGACACCAGGCAAATGTTCTCAAACCTCATCCTTGGCTTGTCTGCATTATCAGAAGTAACTTTTGGGGACTTGTAACATTTCCTACCCTGTTAAATGTTTGCCTCTAATTATGAATTAGTTCTTACTCTACAAAGACATAACTAGAAAGCACAATCTCAGAACTAAAAACGTGCTATGCCTCTCCTCAAAATCTTGAATGAAGAAAGCGAGAGAATGCAAAAGGTTTTTCAAAGCTTAAATACAATAGCTGAGTGGCCAGATACGACCCAGGCTACACCCTACTGTAATATTAGGCTAAATTTGGGCTCAAATACACTCAAGTGTTGCTGAAATTCCAGCTTAGTGGCATATATTTTGTTCTCTGATGTTTCAGGGGACTTTATGGGTTACTGGTGATTCAGTTGTTTGAATGGAAAATATCTAATTAATTTCAGAAAACATCATCTGTGCTGGTGAAGAGTAATAGCTTAATGAATCAAGATCAAAAGGAGCTTTACACCACTGGAGTATGTTGTCTATCAAATCAGATATGGCCAGTCTTCTTGTCACTTTTGGCCATTAAAGATTTTATGATAATCTGGGGACTTTACCCCAGAAGTCCAATTAAATTTGGTCCCAGGTGATTATTTCAGCTCCTCCTACATTTTCAACCACGGGGGTTGCAAGTGTTGTCCTAAATGCCTGGGTTCTGCATGTGGATATTGGAGAATTAAAATGATGAAAAAAATTCTGTCCGTGAATGTTGTCTAATAATAATCACATCTGAAAACCAGTAGAAGGCTCACCAGGAGGTGACTGGCCAACAGGAAATGCAGAGCAGTGAAACAACAGTATCTAAACAGTTCAGGATCATGTTTTTCTCCTAGGGTTGCCTGTGTTCTAGGGCTGCGTGGGCACTTCCACGCCCTGTGCTGCGATAGGCACGTTCCCTGTGGAGGTAGCATCATCAAGAGCATAGGAGACGGCGTGAGGCAAAGCACAGAGCATCTTCTGCAGCGGCGGTGGCACCACTCCCAGTGGCTGCTCTGCAGAGTGCTCTTGGCTTTGTCCCTGTTCCTGCACTGTCCTGTCCCCACAGTATACCTCAGTCTTGAGAAGAAGCATGCCTAGGTTGTGTGATTTATATTTGCTAGAGGCAATTCCCTCTTCCTGTCACCTTTTAAAACGCATTTTTTTCTTTTCATTCTCCCCAAAATTAAATGTGCTCTTACATGTTTATTTTAGGCCTGCTCTTCTATGTGTATTTCTCACTGAGGGAAAGGCCAATCTTTGCCTTGGCACAGGCAGATAAATGTTTGAGATGGTTCACAAATGCTTTCAGAAGTGAGGAATGTTTCTTTTCCATTTCCAAAACCTGCATTAAGTCCTTTGCCAAACCCTGCAAGTCAGTCTTCATGCATTTATTAAAGAACTTTGGGATAAGTTCACAGCAAGAAGGTGGTCAGACTCAAAGGAAGCTTTTCTTTCCTCAAGTTTTGTATTTAAAATATTTCTCCTTTTTTTTGATTTTGCTGCTGACCACTCCTGTAGTGATATTATAATATACGTTTGTATAAAACATGTTTCTATTAAATACATATACATATGTACACATACATATACATATATATATCTATCTTAAGACAGAAGTTAAGAGGCGCTTCTGCATTTTCAGATGTGTACCTGAACCCTTCACGAGATCACATCTCCCCTCACAGTCTTCTTGAACAGAGCTACCAGACCATTAAACCACTGTCACTCTCCATTAGCCAAGCCCAGTATGTCTTAATTTGTCCTTCAACCTTCTCAGAAAATCTTCAGTAGAAAAATGGGTATGCAACAAGAATAGAAAACTCTTCACCTCGAACGCCAGAATTCAGATTTTACTTGTTTTCTCACACACAAGCTGAGGATGTCTCTGGAGTAATTAGTAAAAGAATAGCATTAATTCTGCTTCTCACTGATAAGGGTGCTTCATTAGGATTGACTGCTCATTTCCAAAGATATACATGGCTAAAATAATTACCAGTGGAGAACACAAGGCACTGAACACCACATATATCCTTTAGACCACCCTTTGGACCCTTAAGAATAAGTTTAATACTTTTATTTATAAGGTATGTATAAATGAGTCTTTCAGTTCCACCAGAAATAACTGTCAATTAAATTAGGGCCCTATGACTAAATCTGAATCTCTGTTCCTTTTATCTGAGGGTTCTGTATATGCACATACAAGAGTCTGTCTATATGCACATACAAGAGTTTATTTAGGACTGGATGAAAGACCACTAAAGGCCACCACAAAGTAAGAGAAGTCACAGTTCTGTTTCACTTTCATTGGAAAGTCGTCACCATCAAGCAATTGACTTATGCTGATAGCTTGAGCCTGATTCTACTTCACAAAAAATTTCCAGCTGCAAAAAACCCGACACCAGAAGCCCTCATCCTTTGATTCTTCTGCTACCTCTTACAAAGAAACGCTTATGAATGAAGGACATTTAGTACCTGAGTTTTTTCCTACGCTATTCTTATTTTTTTATTTCTTCCATGTTGGCCTCATTTCTGAGCAGCTTCTTGTAATTGGGACAGAGTGTTATGGGAGATCATAGGAAGCTGGTTTTGTCCTCACCTGAAGCCATTAATACTGCTGCCTGGCTTTGCAGGCTGCAGAACTGCCCATTCAGTTTGTAGTATAAGGCAAAATGTTAACTATTATGTGTAGATTTTGGCAGGCAATAAAAGTAAAGATATTTCACATAAAATGAACAAAACTATACAGAACAAAAATGTGTGGTCATCCAAACAGAAACATGAAGAGACTACGTAGAGATATGAGAGAAAAACAGAACATGCTCTTTCCTAATGAGCTCTTCCCTGATATATATCTTAACCCAAATAAAACGGGCATTAACCTTCAGGGAAAAAAAAAACATCTAGAATGTATTAATGTGGGCTGAGCATTTCTCACATCAGCCCTGAAAAGATCAGGGCAGCATTAACACAAGAAGATCAACCCAGTGAGAAGATCAGTAGTTGCCCCAGTACAGAGATGCACCACACTTCGTCTTGAACTCAGGATTTTGAGGTGCTGCCTCCTGGCCAGCAGCTGCAATTATGAGCAGACTGTTCAAAAGGTGCAGGCAAGCATTTAGGGAACCTTTTTTGGTCTGTGTAAATGTAGCCATCCCCTGCTTCGGTGGTCTAAATGAGAGACTGGAGAGAGGGGACCCATCAATCCTCCTTCCACATGTACCTAGAGCTTTGAATCGCAAAGAGCCTGGACACTTGTGAAAACATCTGAAACACAAAAAAGGAGCCTGTATTGTCTACCGTTGCTAGCTGCTGTGCAGTGAGAGATAAACTGCAGCATAGACTGCAGGACGCCAAAATCCTGGTCATTGGGAACTGGAGCTGCCCATCATCATCAGGACTCCCCAGTCGGAGGGGAGCAGTCAGAGCAGGGGTGGAAAGGGAGAGCAGTTAGGCAGGCAGTGTGAGCAGGGAAGCAAAATGGCAAGAAGCCGTGGGACAGAATGGCCTGTGTAAGGATCAGGGGGGCAAGTAAAAGACAAACACATGGAAAGATTCAGGGTGGGTGCAGGGGGACCTGCCCAGATGGCAGTTCAGGGGAGAAGCAACAAAGGGCAAAAGGAGAAAGCAAAACTCTCCCTCTCCCCTCAACCCTCACCCCTTTTCTCATTAAAGGCATTTAAAGATATGCTAGAATTTTCCTGATACTTCCTTTCCCATCAAAGCACATCCTGCAATTTTTGTGGTGATGGTTAAGTCTTGATGAATAAGAGTGAGGAGGGTTAGGAAACGCAGCGGCGGTCTTAGGTAATTACAGGTGAGAGGGGAAGTGCCCTGACGCAACGTTGATGAAGTTACAGCCTGAAAATGCTTCCTGATCCCTGCCCTAGGTACAACACAGATACATTACCAGTACACACAACAACATATGCAAACAGCGTTACAGAAGGAGGAAGGACACTGAGAACCTTGCTGTACGGGCAGGTTTTTCTGATAAGGGAAACGGTGGTGCTGAGAGTCCAGGAACACCTACTTACCAGTTAAGTGGCTGGCAATCCTGGCAATAGGTTTAGGAGGCAGGGCAGGGGGCTGTTTGAGGAGGGACAACTGTTTCACTGGGGTGTCCTCATGGTCTCCAGGGAAAGCGGCAGATTTTTTGGGGGGAAGTAGCAGGACTGGCTTAGCTGTAGGATCTTGGGACAGGAGGACGCCGGATTCATTGGATGTGGGGCTCTCTTCAGACACTGGAGGACACAACCACATCATAGACGCAACAACGTTACGAGCAAAGCAGCAGCGGATACAGCCGCAGTAAGACAAGAAAAGCAGCACAGCAATGCAGATTAAGAACGACTAATACATTTCACTCAAACATCATATAACACAGAAAGGAGGAGAGAAAGAAAGAGAGAAAAAGAGAAAGAGAAGGAGTAACACACATCTACACAACAGCCGAATTTCCTGTTACCTCTGACAGAAGCCAGCTCCCTTATGCCAGGCTGGGATGTATTCCCACATCTTGAACACAAATCAAGAGCCTTAAAATGTCACATCTCAAACGGTCTCTCACCACAGCTTGATCAGGACCAGATATGTTAGCAGGTGGTCTCTAAACTTATCCTACAAATACAAAAGCACCTCACGGGGCCTACTCCATTTCAGAGAGGCTGCATAGCTGTGCAGGATCATGGATGAACACTTCTACCAGTCACTTTTCCTCATTCAACCTTCGTCCACAATTCTCAGCATTAAGTGATGCAGATAGAGGAGCTAACATAGATGCACAGCGTTGCCGTCTCTCTGCATGGGCTGGGGAAGAAGTGCAGAGAGCCTCATCTAGGGTAGGGCAGCTGGCTGTGTTAGCTACGGAAAGATGCATGGTGTGAACGTCACCCAACACCATGTGGCAGCTAAAGGGCATGACATCCTACCCTAGGGTTTAAAAATGTTGTCAGCTCTCTGGTCTAGAGCTCATTGGCACAGCTGACACATAGCCCAGAGAATTAGAAATCTACCCTTAAATGTTCACAAAGTGCAGGGACTTTGCCTTACTCACGAAGAGGTTACTTGTCTAGAAGTAGAGGTTACTTCTACGCCAAGTCAGTCAAAATTTCTCATGGAGCATCCAGTGACAATCTGTATGCTGTCACCTACTTCTCCACCAGAAGACCTTTGTCTTTGACACGGATTTCTCAGGGCTAGACACCAAATGTTAGAAGTCAAAAACTTGTTTCAAACAAGTTAGTATCTACATCATAATATAAACAAGATGTTACCTGTCCCATCCATGATCTCTGTGGTTGGGAGCACCTCGTATGAGCAGGGTTCCCCAGATGCTGGACCTGACTCCAGTTCTGCTAGGGCTGGCAGGGATACCTGGCTGGAGCTCAGCACTTGCCCGGAGCCCAGAGGCTGCCCATTCTCCAAAGCTCCTTCTTCATTTGGTATGGAAAGTTCCCCATCTGTTCATAGTCGGAGGAAAGCAGAATGACAACAGAAGACACATAAATAAGATGCAGAAAGAATTTAAAATGAAATCTGCTATCTCCATTAGCTTGCTTGCAAATGAGGAACCTCAACTGAGATCTTATATGTATACAGAAGACACAGGGATAAGGATCAAAACAATATGGTTCGTATCTCAAAAATACAATTTGTGCGGAGCAATTTCTGGAGATGTCTGATTGCGATGTTCTGTCCACAACAGTTTCACAGAAGTCGACAGCATTCCACTGGCCTTAAGGGGTTATTGAGATGTGGGAAAGATCTGTCAAATATCTGTGTTGGTCCTTTGCTTACCCTAGGATGGTCATTATGATCCATGGTCTAAGCTGGACGGTTCCCGACCATCCTCCACCCATGGGGCCACGCAGCCACATCCAGGGCCACAAAATCTGTTTTCCCTCTGTTTCTGTTGAAGCTGGGAAGTCAGGAATGAGAATGGGCTGGAACTGAAGCTATGGAGCGTTCTTAAAGAACACTAATCTACACAGTATATAATTTATAATATTTTAATACTAACAAGAATTATTCTCTTCCCTTACACCAATTTTTATTCTATAAGGGACACAAGCAAAATCACAGAAGTACGTCCCTATTTAACACACAAATAAAAACATTTCAGCTCCCAGCATCAAGATTTTAAGTAAGGGAGAGAATAATTTTTATAGTCGCCTGCTGTAAGATCTTGATACTGGGATATAGCACATTCCATTTAGAAAGCCTGTTTTTAAAGTTATTAATAATATCTCCTCTATCCAAGCAAAATTTCTGTAACAGCAGCTGGTAGTTTCTTTCCTATCAAACGCCACTTCACATGAGAAATAACAAAGAACAGAAGCGAGGGATCAGATCATTCTCTATGGTGTCAACCCGCATGATTTTTATCTCAGAACTTGTTATGCACAGCACTCTGGTAACCTGGAGGCAATGACTACATGGATATCTCAATTACAATTTTATAAAGGAAAGTGTTCAGCCCCTATGGTTACAAGTGGAAGCCTGAAAATATAACCGGAATGTGACCTGTAAGGCTAAAAACCAGCAGGCAAATAAATTTTACTATGTGTTTAAATTACTTTTTTAAGTCAAACTCAGGATTTCAGGATCTGGTTCTTGATTTTTGGGCACCTCTGATTAGCCATATTACTGCTCAATGTACCCAGCAGAGATGTGTATCATTCAAGTGAGTGCACATTTTCCCCTCACAGGGCAAAGATGTGCAAAACACTTTGGAAAACAACACTGAAAAGAGAAAAAAATTTAAGTCTCACTTAAGCGTCAGGACACAGCAATTAACAAGTCTGAAAGTACGTTAGCTGATAAGTATTCAGAATTATGTTTCTGCCTTTCAAAGTTTCTCTACAGCGAGTGAAGATGGTCTCCTGCTTATTTTGGAATTATTAGAAATACCAAGGTCTTGACTTTCTTGTTTTTGTTGGAGGCTTTTTGAAGACCTAGAGAGCTATTATGATACACAGCCACATCATACTGGACTGAAACCGGACCCACAGCTTTCAGAGCAATCGACTGAGCTGGCTAAAAGGCGGCAACATTAATCAAAACTGAAGGTTTTGGCCAATTGTTCACAGCACAGTCTCCTTCTAACTGCCGTGGTCATTCAATACAAACCCGTTTATTTCCCTAGGCAGCAAATCAAACAACTGTGCAGCCAGTATTTAAGCTGAACGTTTTTCAACTTAACTGTTTGGGTGGAAATGCTATGTATTCTGTGCTTGCTCTGTCTCCCTTTTATAAACACACCCCTTTATACCTGTTCGGGATAGGGGCTGCTGTTACCTTAGTTACCCAGTTTCATGAAAGAGCATAACTGTTTCTTATGCAGAGCAACTGTTTCTTGAATGAAAGGCAGTGATTGTGTCCAGCAATATTAATTAATTCAGTGGAGGACTAAATTTGACCATAACTGTGAGCAGACAAAAAGTATGTATGATAAAACCAGTAACATTTATTTTTTGGAAGGATGTCTACACATTTTTCATGAAGTGGGATGCCTATCGTTAACATGCTGAGCACCTTGAAATCTTACTGTCTTAACTGCACTTTGCACTTCTCAAGGTATATTCAGCATGATTTAAGAAGATAGCGTTCAAATCGTTGAAGGTTTATGATTGCAAAAAAGTAAAACGTGAGATAAAATTTTGGCTTTTACTTTTTGTCATAATAATAAGCATGACAGCTCTCTGTACTGACAGCATAACCTCTTTTAATCTTACCTCTGAATATCTGCAATCTTCATTTAGACTCTAAAACTTGTCCTCGGATTTGACTGAAATCATCAGACATGACACAGAATCATGACTGAAATACACACCCTAAATCAGATCTCGCTTAAAGAAGAGTGACATGGGGAGCTGCTCAAGTACAGCAAACAGATCAAAGATGCAGATAAAATAATTTGTAGAGTGAAAAATATCTTAGTGTGAATTAATCCTGGATCAGAGACATGCTTGACAACCAGACATAAAAGGCAAATTACTTATTATTTTTAAAGTACTAAAAGCTATTCTGATTAGCTGACATACAAATGAAAAGAATATTGGTAATGCAATTATTACATATACATGGACGAATCGATTAGTCTTCAGGAACTGGCTATGAGTTTAAAGTTAATTTTGCCCAGTGATAACATATGTAATCTTTTGTTCTCACACTTGCTAAATCCTTGCTGTGTTTTCACAGAGCCTGCTGCTACTTAGTGGAGAACGACTCTCCCTAAATGCATGAACTTTGATAATGCCGTCTGAGTGTGAATCAGCTGGATCTGGATGGGACCAGAGAGAGTAGCTTGACCTCTGCAGCAACAGGAGCACATGAAGGCTGCTCTTCTATTACTGCACACCTGGAGTCACTGAAGAAACAGGACCTCAGAGGAAACTCTTTCATGCAGAGGACTCTACCCAGACACTTTGGTTCACCGTAGCATGTGAAAATAACAGCATGGGGTGAAGGCCCGGAAATGCATAGATGATATGTTCAAAACATGTCTCCCCTAAGCATGGTTTGTACTCCTGAACTCACCTGCCATTTCAACTTTCAGGTACCTTTTTAAAAGTTCCCTGGTCCGAAACAGCCCACAGTGCATCATGCTGACTGGTACAGACCAGTCCTTTCGTTGCTTCTTTACGTCGGAGCTCTGCCTACCCTCTCACCGTGTCTTTTCACTCTGAACACCTTGGACTAGGGAACCTCTTGGATGTCTGACAAGTGCCACGCTCATATGCTCCTTCCATAGACAAATGGCTAAGGAAGTCAAAATGATGAGGAGAGTTCGAAATCCTGAGTTATTTTCCACTTTGGGTTGTCTCCTTCAGTATTTGCCTGCTCTCAAGTAAGACTGTCCAGGCAAGCATTTTCGATGGCAAAGGCTAGGAAGGGCAGAGAAAAAATCACATCCTTCTCTGCCATGGCCCCCATGGGCTAGGGGATGGAAAACTGAGTGTTCTTGCATGTGGTCAAGACCTGTCCCCGGGGCTGTTTCCTAGCGTTGGTGGCTACCTTTGCACAGTGACTAGGATCCTCCTTGACTTCAGTCTCTAAGCAGACCCCCAATCTTGTGGGATCCTGTGGATTTTGAGACAGGCTGACATATGGATGTCCTCCCTGCTTCTGGAGGAGTTCAAATCCTTTCAACATATCGAAACTGCAGCATACCTGGCTCTCCGGTGGCTGCCATGCCTTCCTCCTTGCTGCATTACCAGAGCCACTTCTTCAAACTTACGCTCACATACTGCCACAAAATCTGCCTTAGCACGTAAGTGCAACACTTTCAAATCCTGTCAGGATTTAGGTAGCCTGAAATCTGGCTCTAAATCCATAATTTTATTAGATAGAGAGTACAAAACCACAAAAGTATAAAAGACGAAGACTGCCCATGCTTCCTTGCAGAACCATTGCACCATTGTCTCTGAAGCAAGCAATCAGTACACACTCATATTCAGAAATTTCTCACTACAGGCAATCTCATCTACGTTCAGATAAAAGAAGAGGTATCAAAATACTACAAGTAGATTTATTTCTTCGACTGGCACCATGGAACAGTGGGAAATTCTAAAGACAGATGCTTTTGGGACAGTTATACCTTCATGTGAAAATCAAAGCTGTTTATCTATGTGTGGGAGCAATGGTATAGCAAAAATGTGAGTTCTTCTAAATGCTGTGGTATGTTCTGAGTTGCAGGTGGAAGCTGTATTTTTAACCTCTTGGCACTGCCTGCCCACAAACTATTAGAACAGCAGGTGCCTCATCAGGCACTTCTTCAACTCACTACGTTTCCAAAAGTACAGAGTATTTGAAAAAATTACCACCTTTGCCTACATTTCAGAAGACTCAAGTCAAGAACCCTGGAAATGGAAGATGACAGAAACTGATTCGCTCATGAGTCTGGCCCTTGCCAAGAAAAGAGCTCTCTGCAGTTCAGTCTGGAGTGGTTTCACTTGACTCGTTTACGCATGGGGGTCACTGAAGTGATAAAAGCATTTCTTGTTTCCCAAATATAGCGGCTGGACGGCAGTGACTCTCCCATGTGTGAACACTGTGACTTACTGCACTCTGCTAACTTTCACCTGCTGGATGACACAAAGTCCTCTGAAAAGCCAGCAAATCTTGAAGCAAACAGGTCAGAGTGTCATTTTATACAGCAGGCAAACAAACTCGCTAATTCTGTTTTTCTTCAACATAGAAGATATGATAAAACCAACACTAAGCACACTGCAAGCTCCAGAATTTTTGTTCTTGGGTCAGTCTACCCATATTAAGTTTCCCTTGATCTGTACAGTTTTTTTTAAGAAAGAAAAAGGCAAAATTACTCACTCACAGGCTGATTCTGTCTGCTTTGTCCTCCTCTTAGGAAAGGGAGACAAAGAGATTTAAGATTATGGCTACACCTATTGTCTGTGCAAGATGCCTCTTGGCATGGAAGGTGCTACAATCATCAAATAGAGCCTTCTGCTATGAAGTGCTAAAGTCTGCTGTGTTTTCTTGAAGGATTAGAGATTACCTAACGGGAATTAGAAGGAAAATGTTACTTCCACTTAAGGTTTGCAGTGAGATAAAATATCCTTTGTTAGAATTACTCTCGGATTATTACACCACTGAAGGAAATACTGCTTTTGCTCTACAAATCTTGCCTTATTCATATCCTTATATCATCAAAGCTACTTGATCACTGCTCCTATACTTGTATATTACCACTTTCTCCTCAGGCCTACCTCTTTCTTTCAAGGACGGGTACCAATTCTTAGCTTCCTGTGTTTGCAACCAGCAGGAAATAATGTAGGATACTGAATAAGAAGTCCAGCTTTTTTGCATTATAGTTTCCCTTTTAGTGGCACCTGACAGTGAAAAAGCCCGATGTCTGCCTTTTGCACTGGAAATAGGAAGAAGCAGCACATGCTTCATACCAGCTTTTTCTGATATGAAAAGGTGAAAAATGACTATAAAGAGGAATTAATTTCTTTTTTCAGATGAGGACTTCCAGACAGCTTAGCATCTGCTTCACAAGATGACATAGAAGATTGCAAGCTACAGCATTATTTGATTAATGGAGAAAGCTGTAGTGCTTTGGTTGCGAAGCAGGGGGAATCTCCCCAAGTTTCAACGTGGAAGGCAGGGTCAGGCTGCACAGAAAAGATTTTTCCTGGGGATGCCTTTAGGTGTGTGTAAGGTGGGTCAGAAAGCAGCCACGTGTGGGATGTGAGGCAGGGATGAAGGAGGGCACTCCCCAGATGGAGGTGTGACTGAAGGCTGACTTCTGAGCTGGCCAGAGCACTCAACGGGGAGCTACGCCCCGGCCTCCCCTGGGCTGCGACACACTTGGTGTGACAGCCTGGACTGTGCCTCGCTGGCCGCGGGGATGCCTGCCTCATGGCTGCGTATTCGATCCACTCCAAAGCGTGGACAACCCAAAGCAGCGAGAAGGGCAAACCTTTTGCCAGGTGTTGTTTCTCCCCTGAAGTTGCATCTAGGATGACTTCCAAGGCAGCAGGCCACAGGGAGAACACAGGTAGTGTTAGATCTAAAGGACTAGCAGCATCTAAAATACGTAACAGGTAACAACTGTAGAATTTAATGACAAGCAGCATATTGCTTTGGTTTTGCAATGTTTTTTTTTCACTTAAAAAAATAAACAGTTCGGGTTAGTAAATTTTTAAATTCCCAATAAGCTAGGCTAAAAAAGTAAGCAGATTTAAATGCTCCAGACTTTATGAGGTAGACCCTACTTCTAATATCTGTGAAAGTTTATAACTTCTATGGACTTCTAACAGGTTTTGTACTGGTATTGTTAAAAACTTTTAGACTTTGAATTAATGAGGCTTTAAAGCATAAGTTCTACTGAAATTAAGAGGCAACTTTGGCATGTCTTTGTATAATTTGATGAATTCATTGCTTTAGTTATTGACAAGGGAAGCAGCAAAACAAATAAAAGCTGCGGTTAAAGATTGACACATACGTAATAGATGTCAAATATGTGTTGCATTACCAGTGGAAAACAATGGTGTTTGTAAAACAATGACATTTTGCATAAATAATACATTACCAACTCAACAAATTAATTATCCTGAACAAGGAATTATTATTATTATGTCTTCTGAGCTGTTTCAAGGGAATGCGCACTGTTCTGTGCTTGCCAGTATCCAAAACCTTTAAATGTTTCCCTTTTGCACAACAGTTAATCCCAGAGTGACTCAACCAGAAAATGGTAACACATGCAGGCACAGACCCACTCCGACTCCCCGCAGTCTGGATGCCTCGCTGTTTTGCTGCAAGTGACTCCTGCACGGTGCCATGATTTATATTTCTACTGCTTTACATTTCTGACTAGCTTTCAGTTTTATTTGCTAGATAACTATCATATGTATCCAACAGGGAGGGCCAGCTCACGGTGAAATCAAAAGAGATGTTTGGAGACCTTATTCTGCACAGTCCTGCAATTCAGGACTGTATTCCCAGTTCTTAATGTTACAATAATGTAATATCTGGCCATAAAACTATATGGGATGTCAATTTAATGTTGTAAAAAGAAGAACACTTACCTTTATCAAAAATTTCTTTCAGCACTCCTCGTTTTATAAGCTCCTCCCTGCTTTGCCTCATTGATATTTTTCTTTCCAAAGCTGTAAGCAAAGAAGAAGGGTCAATATAACTAGAAGAGAAGGGAAATGATTATTTTAAAAGACTCTATGCCTTTTAAGGCATTTAAAAAATGCTTTTTCTCCTCTTCAAGTCAGTGGCAAATTAGCTTCTCAAAATAAAGGCTACTGACAGCCCAGAGAATCTGCCTGCTGCTGTAGTGCGGCCGTTATTGACAGAAACGGCTATAGACTGACCGATTTGAGGGCATGCCTGCACTCCCATTGCTTAATTTTGACACATGACCGAAGCATTGCTATGGAGAATTAGAGACAGCAAAGGGAGAAAAAGGCAATTAGTGCAGAAACCGGAGGGGGAAGGTAGGAAAGGAGGCAACGCGAAGGATCACACCAATGAAAGACATGGCCGTGGACTGTCCCTGGGCCACAAAAGAGGACTGGCATCTCTGCTGCCCCGAAGCCAAGGCTTGTTTCCCACTAACTCCAGTGCGAGCAGAGCAAGGCATTTGGGATGGTGCAAAAAAGAGCTGTTTAATGGAGCCTTCTCCTCCCTGGAGGGGTGTTTTCTCCCAGAAAGGTGTAAATGAGGAACCCCATGAAAGGCACTGCAATTTATACCAGGTCTGAACAGTCCGAGTCCTGTATTGCCTGCTAGGAGACCGTGGTCACTGGGGCGGCAAAACGACAGCTAGAAATTTCATGTTTGTTTAGTTCAGCAGTAATTAAAACAATGTCCAATTAACCAAAACACCACAAAGGATATGCATTCAGGCAAAGAGCTGAAAGCCAGCAGGCAAGGGCCACAAGAAGTGATGTGCAGGACTGGCTGCAACTGCGCGCGCTCTGCGAGAAACAAGCCTGTGCCTGCCAAAAAAGAGGCACAATCAAGGGTGAATCGCTTCTGCCATATGCTCCCCTATCAGACCCAGCGCAGATGCACGCACACACAAATGAACTGGGACTTAGCATCTCCAGTCTGCCCAAGGCAGATTTAAAGCAAAAAAGGCTCTGAAACCCTCTCTCCATCCCTGAAAACATGAGTGTAACCTTTTCTGGCACTGCTGTATGTTGGCTGTTCCCACAGGGGTACGGTATACTTGGTGAATTAGCCATGCTTATACTGACACACTGCACTCATTGCAACTTACTTGCTGTCAGATACATATGGCTTAGTATGAACAAGGCCAGCTCTGCTTCACTCTTTTCCATAGGATAAATTTAGGTTTCCCCATTTTTAAAATCAGTTTTGAACATGTATTCTTCAGGACAAAGAAGGTCAGGACGTACAGTCAGTAGCTAACAAAAAGCCTGGTCTCCCCTAAACACACCCTCTGAACTTCAGCATTGATCAGAATTAACGGCAGGTCCCTTTGCTGAGGCACAAGACCCCATGCCCATTAGCCAGCCACACGGTACAGTTTTATTTTTGAGGCTGTTAACGTAACAGCCACAGCATTTTCCAGAGTGCCTTAGCCCCATTTGAAGAAGCGTTTTAGGCACCTCACTGACTTTCAATGAAACTTTGATTTCTAAGTTTCTAATATGCTTTTGAGAAGAAATACCCAACAATCACACTGTGGAGTCACGTTGCAGACCGCTCCCCAACCCGCCTTTTCCCTGCACTGAAGGGGCCTTGTTCTGGTATGGTGTTTAAAGCTTCTTCCCCGTCCTTCTTAAGAATAGCTGCCCTCAGCCCCTCCAAAACAAGCCAAAACAAGTTACAGATAACTCCTGAGCTTTCTCCCACCAAAGACATTGTTAAAACCCTGACTGACTTTAAAGAGCAATTTGGCGGCACCCAGTGTGTAATTTTCTGTTAGTGTAAGCAGCAAACAGCACCCAGTCCATCAGCTTGTTCTTCAGTGGGAAATCAAGTTGGGTGAAACAGCAGCAAGGCAGCAGTTTCGGCATATAGACAGCAGCACTGCTCACAAAACAAAGACATGGACAAATACTGCTATTTCTGTACTTTACCTCAAATAGCTAAGTAACAGATCCACATTTTACATACAAATTCACTGGCACCTACCCCGGTTCACCGTCTCACCCTCCTGCCTATTCAACAGCTGGCTATGCAAGGGAGCAGTGTTACTACGGACTTCATGGCTAGGAAGTCCCAACACATTATTAAAGCAGTGCTAAGAAACACGGTAAGTTTGTGGATTGGAGTTAAGGCTTTCGGGGGACCGACTGCTATGAAGGGCTAGCAGAACATTTTGAAGAAGCGCAGGAGTGCTCCTCCCAAAACAATTGCTGGGCAAGACACTCAAGTGTTGACCAAGACTTCTCAAAGTCACAGACTATTTTTGCAGTCTAGCAGAATTTCAAAGATAGAATATATTTTTGGAAGATGTAGGTTTTTCAGAGACTCCCTTTTAGTTGTAATCCGCTTCTGCTCAAGAATGAAAAAAAACCTCTCCAGTTTGAAGCTCAGACTAAAACAATTTTTCCAGTTTCCAAATCCTTTCTAAGTAGGTACAGGACTTAAAGTATTAATTATTTTCCTGCTAAGCCAGTTTAATTAATAAGATATTTAGAGGAAGGGCATGCTGGGCTAAGAGCAGCACTGAATGATAATAACAAATGTTATACTAAAACTATGGAACATGCTGCCTTCCTTCAATGCAAATCTTCCTCCCAAACAAGTCTTGTACATTTAAGTGCATAAACTGCTATGTTACTGCTGGATCAGGTGGAAAAAAAATCACAAGCGTTTAGCTGCAGAATTCATTAGGATCTAACAGCCCGAACAATGAAATGTTTCACTTGGTCTGGATTTCTCTGGCAAAGATTGCCTGTTCTTTTAGGAAGGATTTTCTTTTCAAGCAGAAAGCTGATACAGAATAAATTCATTCACTCTCCACTGAGAAGTGATCCTCCATTCACAGCAGAGGATAAATAAAAACCTCTGAATTAATCCTTGATTCATGAGAACCTTGTAAATTCCGTGATGGGGAAAAATTAAATATAATTAATATTTAACAAAAGATGTATTACTTCATTGGCGATTTTCCGTGGTGATTAACCTCATGTTGTTCATTTGTACAATCTTCCAGGAGATTAGAAATAAGCATTAAGCCCTCTTTATGGGGTCTACTTATGCCAGAAATTCACCCATTCTGCAAGAAACTCTCAGTTACTAGTTCATAGAAATGAGCGTATGTGTATTTTATGGTATAAGCGTGCAGATTTTGCCAGTGTGCTCTGCAGTACGCTGTTTCTTTTCAGCTCTGATGAAGAAACAGTGGGAAATGTTTTTATTAGTGCTTCTGAGCTGGTGTTTTTGAACTCGTCCCTCAGGAGCAGCACCCCTCCGCTGTTCAAGCAGAGCTGTTCTCTGTCGCAGACCCATTAAGATCAATAAAGCCTTGACAGGGTCAGGAGGATTTCCTGCCCCTCCTTCTGGAAATCAAGTACAGTTTTGTCTTTATTCCTTTAATAAGCCGTTGCGCTCTGTGATGGCAGTGATTGTGGGCTGCTCCTCCAGCTGAGAAGGTGAAGCTTGCCGCTGCCTCTGTGCCAAGCGCTTCTGCTGCTCCATTAACCAGCCAAAGAGGTGTTTATGTAGTCAGGACGTGTAACCTTTCTGGCCCTTCCATCCTTCCCTCAAAGACCAAAACATCTCAGATGAACTCTTCTAACCTGCATCTACATGAGAATAAACTGGTCCCCTTTGCGTAACTTGTCATGTTGCTGCTTAAACCAAGGGGCGGACTAAATAAACAAGTCCTGCCCTTTCTTCTCATCTGACAACCGAAACTAAATCCCAGTCTGTGCCAGCCAGTTGAATCAACCTCGCTTTCTTCTGAGGTTGCCCTTGGTCTTTGTCTTAAAAAGCACTGGGGGTTGCTTTGCATGAATTCTTCCTTTGAAAGGCCACTATAATATTCATGATGATTTTAGGAAGCAAAGGTCGTTACAGGAATGGAGCTTAGAGCAGAAGCTTTCTGGTGCATCAATTATATTTGGATTCAATAGACAGAAATTTGCTTTGCTAATAATTCAGATCTGAGTAATTAGAAACAAGTAAACCAATTGCTTCGCACAGCGTTAAGATAAACAACCATCAATATTTCCTTAGACTTGTAAGGAAGAAGAGATTTTCAGATGTGATGGATTACGTACCAAAACATGTTACATCATCTTGAAATTCTTCCAACTGAGTAGACTTTCTTGATAATCAAATGGAGCAGGATTCATCTGATACAAATTTTTACAGTGTGGGCTTCAGCCTCTGAGTTGGCCTCCTTATATATTAAGAGCAAGTCTCGGGCATGATTGACCTCAGCCTAATGTAAGCATCTAAAATAGTCTGAACTGCACCTTGGAAGTGCCTGTTCGTCTTTACTGACCGTAAAGGAAGCTAAGGGTGAGTAGCTGAGATAAAGACGCATAAAATTAGGGCTGCATCCACTCCTGAAATCAAAATTGACTCAAGAGGGCAGGTTTAAGAAAGGAAACGCTGCTGTAGATGAAAGTCTTGGACAGAGCTGAGGAAAATGTAGATGTGTCAGCTCACACAGAGCTTCATTAATTTTGGGATTGTTTCAATAGCTGTGGCATGACATCCAGCATCGCTGCTGTGAACTTTGACCAAACTTTGCCAAAATATAGCTTGGTTGAAATAACTGTTTTGCTTTGCTGAGTGCTAAATATGAATTTTGCTTGACTTCAAACACTCATAAGTCTCTTGAAGCCTGAGGGAAGAAAAAATATTCCAGCAGGGTTTTTGAATCTTTGAGATTTAAAGTTCCTTACAGAAGTTTTGGGTCTCTCTAATCTCAGCCTGAGTTTTCCTGTAACAGTACCATCTACAAAATCTGACTTGGACAGATTACTACCTAGAAAGGATTAGGAGCCCCTTGTCTGTGATGTCTGCCCATGATGTTTCACTTCTTCTGATTGTAGCCTAGCACTCCTATTCTATGAGATTACAAAATAAGTGAACATCAGCGGGGAAAAGACATGCGGGTATTAAAAGTTAAGCTTGATTTGAAAAAAAATATTGCAAATACTTCTCCAAATCAGGTGCCGCTACAGTAGTTGATCAAATAAATCCCTTTCAGTACATGAATCGTTTGGAA